GTACGTAGAACTTGCTAGGATCCCCTGGCTGCCTCTGGGGTTCTCCGTCCCCTGGCAGACCTTCCTCTGGGGGCAGAGGAACCCAGCCTGCTTTCTCACCTGGGCCAGTCAGTGTCTTATAAGCCCCTGCTTTCTGCCCAGAGAGCAGCCGGCCCTGGGCAGCAGGTTGCCATTGAATGGATCGTGGGGTTGTGCACTCGTCCTGGGGCCACCTGGCTACCTGGGTTTCTGCTGAGCATCCGTGACGCACCGCTGTCGTACTTTCCCTGCAGGTCCTTCAAGAGGAGCGATCCTGTTAACCCGTACCACGTAGGTTCCGGCTACGTCTTTGCACCAGCCACCAGTGCCAACGATAGTGAGATATCCAGCGACGCACTGACTGACGACTCCATGTCCATGACGGACAGTAGTGTGTAAGTATTCTGGCGTCCCCATCACATGCCCGGCATGTGATTCACAGGATCGGCTGGCCAGAGTCCTCAGCCATCCTCACCCGGCTTTGCAGATCCCATCTGTGGACATGTGTTTGGTGGTTGAGGAGGGTGACATGGTAGGTGGGGTGGTGGTAAGCTTAGAGCCTTGAAGGGAAGGTTGGGTGGTACCTTAACAGAAGAAAACTAAGGTAACGATGGAAGGTTAAGATCTATACATTTGAGTGTAACCACACATCTTTTGGTTGTCATTTTGCCTGCCTTCCCTGTGGGCACAAGTGCTGGGTTGGCCTTGAAAGCCAGGTTCTATAGAACCAACAGGTGGGGGACAGGGTGGCATCAAAAGGGTTTGTGTTTAGTTCATTGTTTTTGGAGGAAAAGGCATGGAAGGTGTCAGTTTCCCTCATGAATGTGCTCACATGGGCATCGTTCAACTGAATAAGTCCCGGTGGATGCCTGCTCTGTGTCAGGTGGGGGTTCTACCCCAATTTTGGGTTCCCTCCAAAGTCGAGCCTGATCTTGGTTCTTTTGCAGATGGAAGGCTTTGATTTCTGAAAGCCATCCAAGTCATCAGGGTGGTCTGCTGAGGTCAGCAGGGCAGCGGGCGGGGTCATGCTTTGAGCTTTAGGTCATTTGTGGTCATGCAGTGGAGGCGAACAGCATACATTCTATGTGAATTCCAGTGTGTGTGTGTATGCGCTCGCGGTGGGCTGGGTATCCCCATTTCCTGCCATCACTTGGGGTCAGGGAGGGGGAAGACACCCCGTCTCCACTCACTCCCCTCTTCTATTCCATAGCCTCCCCTCCAAGACCAGAGTCCTGTTCCTTCCCGTATGTGAGTGTGTACGTAGAACTTGTGTGTGTGTGTGTGTGTGTGTGTGTGTGCACGCGTGCATGTGGGTGTGGGTGCGGTGGGTTGGGTTGGGTATCCCCATCTCCTGCCATCCGTTGGGATTCTGATGCAGGAGGCTGGAGGGAGAGCCTGGCCTTGGGCAAAACTTCCTCAAGAGCTTTTCACCCAACACCAGTTGAGAACCACCATTCTGGAAATGCTCTTTGAAGGCTTCCCCACAAATGTTTTGAGTAGGACTTTCTCCCGCTAAGGGAGCAGTTTTAAAAGGCAAACCCATTGAGCTGTGTGAGTTCTGGCGTACTTAGAGTGTGTTCCTTTTACCTTCCTAAAAACCGGACTGCCTATTCTTCCAGTTTGTTTGAGATTATATGGTTTTTATTGGCCAATGTCCTGTTGCTTGGTCTCTGGCATGGAACTAGTTAGAAGGAAAGTTGATGAGGCTGGTTTGGGACTCTGCTATCGATTAAAATCCTGGTGGCTTTTATTGTGTCACCTCAGATTCCCCTGGTGGTAAAGGGAGAAATCCTCAAGATGAAGCATCCTACTTTAATAAAAGAATAGCAGTTTTGCCTTGAGAAGCAATAAGTAAGGGTACACATCTTTCCTCCAACGTGGAGGAATGAGGAGTTCCACAGAAGTAAGTCGGACTGAACTCCTTAAATATCCATGTTGAGAAAAATTATCCTTTGATGGACATAGTTCTTAATACATTTTTACTCTGTCTTTATGGAATAGTATTAGGTAGGCATAATTTATTTCTTGATCCAAACAATTAATATCAAGATCTGTTTTCGTACTGTGTTGTATTATCTCATAGATTATAAGGTTATATCAGGCTATCTGCCCCTACACGTGGTATTGTGCCCCCCCCATTTTCTTTTCTTTTTTTATGTACATTTTTATTGACTTTAGAGAGGAAGGGAGAGGGAGAGATCAGCAGTGAAGGATGTTTAGAGTATGAGATTTTTATTTTTTTATTTTCCTCTGGGTTAATTGTTTATTTGGGTATAAAAGGAGTTGTAAAGTGAACTTCAGTAAGTTGTAAAGTGTTTAAAAAATCTCCTTTCTGCTCCCATAACCATGATATAGGCCAGTGGTTGGCAAACTCATTAGTCAACAGAGCCAAATATCAACAGTACAACGATTGAAATTTCTTTTGAGAGCCAAATTTTTTAAACTTAAACTATATAGGTAGGTACATTGTTATTAACTTAATTAGGGTAATCCTAAGGCTTAGGAAGAGCCACACTCAAGGGGCCAAAGAGCCGCATGTGGCTCTCGAGCCGCAGTTTGCCCACCACGGTGACCATAGGTCGATGCTCAACCACTGAGCAACACTGGTCGAGACCCCCTCCCATTTTCAAAATGAGTTTTTCTTCTTCTTGTCACCCTGCCTGCTGTATGTTTGTTTGTTTGCTGCCGTTGTGTGCTGGCTACTGGTAGCATTGCTCCTTCAGCTTTTATTGTGTTGTGGGTTTCGTGGGAGTGGTAGCATTATGTGAAATAGGTGAAGCCGGATTTGAATGAGGGCATTGAGTGACTGCAAAGTCAAAGGTGGTTTGCGGAAGGCTTCTGTTTAGTTTCCTTAGAGACTGTTTAGGCTGCTTGCTGGTCCTGGCCTGCATTTATTTCATTTCCACCCCCATCGCTGTGTTCTTCTGGCTTCATGATGAGATAACTGGGGGCGTGGTCCCCATACGTGGTTGAGCCTCACAAGACCCAATCGGGAAGGGCCGTCCTGTGACTGACAGGTGGAAGTAAGGCCCATGCTGCCATAGCTTCTCGTGGCAGAACCGGACTCAGCTCCAGGCCAGACACCGGCCCCTGCCCTTCGCCTCTCCCCCTTCCCCCAAGCACCCACAGTTCCAACGTGAGAAGTGTTACTAGGACCAGTGGGTAATGAGACCTTTGAGCCACTTTGAGTTTCTTTTTATTTTTATTTATTAGCGATCACCCACACTGCTGCTTTTTTAATGGGTTGGGGGGAGGGGTAGGAGGGAGCAAGTTCTAACTTCTCCCCTGCACCCTCCCCTGGTACCCCTCTTCTTTCATCCCCTTCCCAAAAGAAAACCTTCCTCGCTTTTACAGAGGTGACTTTAAAGCCCTCCCTCCCCCACTTTAGCTAAAGAACTTGTGGGCCTGGAGCCGGGAGAGCCTCTCCTCCCGTGGGGGTCACACAGGTGGCCTTTGCGAGCCAGCTGTTCTGGGCAGAAGGTAGAGTGTGGCCAGTGAGGTCCACTTCATACGGAGGCAGAGCCCTCACTCAGTGGCTTTCTCTCTGGGCACAGGACATTCCCTTGGGCCCCCACTGGCAGAACCTCGGGGATCCCGCCTAGGGTGAAGCTGCGTGGGCTTGGGGGTGAGGAAACCAGGATGCCAACCTCAAGAGCAGGTGCCTGGGAGGGCCGGAGACCTGGGGGCCCAGCGCTGGGTGCGTGCCTCCTCCCAACCAAGTGGGCGGTATCAGATGGGGCCGCGACAGCTGGACCCACTGGGGCCTTCTTATGCCAGCTGGGAGCGGGCATCCTCTCTCGGGAGTGGTTTGTCCAGGGGCTCCGCCTGGTGCTGCCCAGAGTGGGGGACAAAGGGGTCTCCAGAGCCCATCAGATGGGATGAGTGTTTGGGCTTAGACGTTTCTGTGGGTGTCAAGCTGCCAGGCACTGGGGGTCCCCGGGGCCCTCCCCGCGCTCCTGCCCAGCGGACTTGGCGTGCCCTGAGTGCATGTGATCTGCCCAGTGTCAGGCGGGTCACCCAGGATTCCCAGGGCTGGGATTAGACCCCTCCTCAGAGCTCTGCCAATTGTGGGCCTGGCGCACATGAGAGTGCCGAGCGAGGAATAAAGTGTGTGGGGGATGAAAAGCCGAACTGAATCGCTTTCAGCCCATTGTTCATCCGGGGAAGCTTAGAGGGGATAAGAGGGTAGCAGGCCCTTTGAAATTTCCTTGAACAAGTGAATAGGAGCGCCCCATAAAGCATGAAAAGGCCCTGGCTGTTTCTCCTGGCCACAATGGCCGGCTCGGGCAGGGAGGGGGGCGGCCAGGGGCGGGGAGGGGGCCGGCTGCCCTGCTGGGAGCTGAGGAGGGGATGTGACTGAGGAGGGGTCGAGGGGGTCACGGGCGGCCTTCAATAGACTCCAGAAGGTTGGAGTTCATTAGACACAAGCCCGGGAGGCCATCGTCTCAGTGGCGATAGAACCAATGAAGTCCCGGGGCCTTTGCAGGGGGCCTGGGTAGAAGTTGGGCAGGGCCGGCCTGCACTTGCTTGTTCCAGGGGCAGCGGGGCCTGGAGGTCCGGCGCGGGCGGGGATTTAAAGAAACCAAGGCTGGCTTCTGTTTTCCCGCCAAGTAAAACGCCCTGTTAAGGATGGCTGGGACGGGGGTCCCGAGAGGCCTCTGAGAAGGCCCTTTTATGAGCCTATTACTCTGAAACCCACATTCTCGGAAGAAATGGCTTTAAAATTTTTTTCTTTTTCTTTTTTTGAAAGTTAGCTGCCAGATTCCCAGCCAAGTCCCAAGCCCCGTCTTTGGAGTCTGGGAGACGGGAGGGGGGCTGGGCATTCCCGGGCCTCAGGCCCAGGAGGAGGAAGCCAGAGGCTGGAAACCTCAGCAGCAGCAGGTCCCTGCCCCCCAGGTGTGCCCTGTGTTAGGTGGCAGGCATCGTGTGTGCCACGTGCAGCAGCTGGACTTGAAGGCCGCGTCCGCCCGGGGTGTCCCCAAATCAGTGCACGACGCTTCCCTCGCGTCCCACACAGAGGGCGGCGCGGGTCGTTTTATTTATTTATTTTTGTTTCCCTATATCTTATTTATGGGTTTACTTTGGACACCAGTGAAAGCCTCCGTGTGAACTTCAAATATTACCTTATCTTACAAACCGGGCTTTTGATGTTGGCTGTGATCAGAGGCCCTCGGAGAGGCTGCCAAATGGAACTGAGCGCGGACGCCTGAGCGCGGGAGCCCGCTCTTTCAAAGTCCCCGGAAAACGACATTCAGGTTAGGCCGGGCACCACCGCGGAGTCAAAAGGCTAAGCTAATTGGCTTGGCTTAAATGGCAGCTAAATGGAGTCCACACTTCAAACCCGGTGCTCCCAGAAACAGCTGGGCCCGGCAGCGGCTCGTTAGCTCACATGTTCGTAATGAAAGGAGGCCGTGTAGGGACCGGCGCGCGGGCTTCAGCTCGCAGTTCTGAGCAGCCAGGAAGCTGATCATAGACTTTAGAGCCCGAATAAAAAGGAGAGAGGCCCCCTTCTGGAATGAGGGGCTGTTTTGGAAGAAGATGCTTGGCGAGGGGAGAATTAGAGCCATATTTCCTTACAGGCGCCTGCCAGGCCTCTTGGAGCCTCAGAGTTGAAATCTCCCTTTTCCTGCACTTGGCTCCATCAGCTGCCCTGGGGGGTGGGGGTGCTGGTGGTGGAGTCGTGGTGGTGGTGGTAGTGGTGGAATGGGGGTGCTGATGGTGTTGTGTGTGTGTTGCGGGGGGGGACGTTGGTTGGTTGAGGCAGTGCTTAAAAACCATCATTTGATCATTTGTTCCTTTGGCCTTCAAATGGGCCAGAGAACTTCTTCCTCTCACCCCCATACTTATGTTCCCCAATTCTCTTTTCTTTCTACCTCATATGGGAAAAGACAAAGGTCAAAAAGCCTGACCACTGATTTCCGTCTGGGAGGAAAGGAGAAAAGACTACTAGAGGACAGAGTCTTGGGGGAGATGGGCGGGCCACAGTGGGGTCATGGGGTGCTTGATTCCTGGCCCCCAAGATTGTCAGGAAGAGGCCTAAAGCAGAGACATCCACCCTCTTAAGTCCCAGAAAAGGGTTGCTAGTCAAGAGAAAGGCTGCCTTGCAGCCCTGAGGCAGCAGGAGATGGTTAGACCAGCATGAACCCCAAGTTGTGGGCCCTCCACTACCCACCGCCCCCCTTACCCCACAGGGATTTAGGTTAGAAACCAGGAGATTCACCTGGCATACCCCCTAGCCAGTGAGTATCAAGTGGTGGGAGAGGACTTTCCAGAATGTTCACCAGGTCTCCCATTGGTCCCTTCAGCATGTTAGGTGACTCCATGGGGCTTAGGAAATGCACCCCCATGTTCAGTCAGGAGCTTTGCCTCCCCAGTCGAGGAAGGTGTAGGTGGTTGAGACACCTGCTCTGGAGCCCGCAGCGGCTTGGGTTCCGATCCCTGGACTGCCCGCTGCTGACTGTGACGCCGGTCATCTAGATGTGGTGGAGTTGGGGTTTCGTGGGAATGGAGTTGGGCTCTATGTTAGGAATGTCTGACCCCCAGTAGGAACTCAGTGTGGGGGGCCAGCAGCCGTGGTTGGAACCCATCACCTGGTTTCCTGCTCACTCGGTATGCCCTGGAGGGCCCGGGGTTGTCTCCCATCAAAGGTGAGAACATTGAGTGTCGGCACATAAGCTCCTGGTGGGCACTAAGCTTCTGCACTCGGACCCTTTATCCTCCCTGGCCTCCAGGGCCCCGTCGAGTCCCCGGCCTCATGAGCAGGAGACTGTCTGGGCGACCTGACCTGCGCTGGCAAGTGGCTGCCGCTTCCCCCGGTGCTCGCTGCCTCTGCCCGGGCCTTGCCCTTGCCCTGGGACAGGATTCATTGTGTCTAAGGCAGGGGTGGGCAAACTTTTTGACTCGAGGGCCACAATGGGTTCTTAAACTGGACCGGAGGGCCGGAACAAAAGCATGGATGGAGTGTTTGTGTGAACTAATATAAATTCAAAGTAAACATCATTACATAAAAGGGTACGGTCTTTTTTTTTTTTTAGTTTTATTCATTTCAAACGGGCCGTAGTTTGCCCACGGCTGGTCTAAGGCCTTACTTTAGATCCTGCTCTCCTGCCCTGCACCTCGATACGATGATCCTTCATGTGCTTCTCAGCCAGGTTTGGCTAACAGATCACTGATCTGTGACCCGTATCATCCCCGCCGTGGCCCTGTCCAGCCTCGGTCAGCAGACTTCCGGAAAACGCAGCCACTGGAATCCTAGGGCCTTGCAGATAAGGGGCCAGAGGTCAGCCGCTGGCTCCATCCTGCGTCCTTTTAGGCGCTGCTGGTTCCACCCACTGCTGGTTCCACCCACTGCTCCCTCCCATGAACAAAACACCAGGGAAAGGGAACAGCCAGACCCCTCATTTCAATGCTGACAGCCTCCAAGGATGATGCAGGAGGGATCTGTGTGACCATGAGGCTTTCACCTCCGGAAGGGACAGTGAGGGGAAAGTTGTACCCCCTTGACCATTCGGCTGCTCTCAAGAATAAAGTTCTTTTCCAAAAAGCCACAGCCACGTCAGGTTGTGTTTCTGGTGAAGACTAGCTGGAGTCCCGAGTGCAGGCGTTTCTTACCTCTTCCACCTGTGTTTTTCAAATACCACGAGGAAGGACGTAGGGGCCCGTGCTGCCTTCATTCGGGTCTTTGCCAGGACATCGTTGACAATACACTTCCCCGTGAACCACCTGGCATGCCCCCCAGCCAGTGAGCACTAAGTGGTGGGGGGCCAGGGCTGAAATTGCAACACCCTGCTCTGCCCCCCCCGCC